CTGATTAGGGTAATTTCCACCCCAGGACAGTTTTTCCACAGCAATAACAAACTAGTTTGGGAGACTCCAAGATGAAGGACCTGCATCTTTGAAAGTCAAACCTCGACAATAAAAACAAACAAAAAATGTAAATGAGACATGGCTGGCTTTGTTTGTTCTCCCTTCAAATTCTTCCCAATTCTTGATCGCTACACCATAGCCTAATCATTTGTTGGCAGAACCTAAATAGATTTTTTAAAGCCTTGTATTTACTGAGCTCTATCAGCTCCTCACCTCTCTATCCAATCCCATCCCACTCCCAATTAGCTATATAAAGTTTGAACAGTGCCTGACTTATAAGTATCAGTAAATGATGACAGTAATTATTGCCACTATCCAGAGACAGAAAACTATGTTCAATATTTAAATGCTAACCTATTTTATCAATGATATCTAGAGAAAATCAAGTGTGAGTTGAATTCTTTCAAATTGCTCTCATGTAGGATATCTCTTTATTTTTAAGCCCAAATATTCTCTCTCTAGCCTGGCTACATAAAATAGTTTTGTGCTCAAAGCAAGTGCCTTGGGAAGACAATGGGCAGGGGATTATTCTAGATTAAAAAAACTCAAAGGGACATAACAAAATGCAACATAACTTGATTGACTCCAGATCTGGAAATATAAATGTACACATTTTGGAAACAATTGAGGAAATTAGAATATGGGCTGCGTATGGATTATATTATAGAATTGTTAATTTTATTAGAAATTATAATGATATTGTGGCTATAAAGGAAAATGTCTCTATTCTTAGAAGATGCAGGCTAAAATATTTAGGGGTAATGTGTTGGTACTATGGCATCTGCAACTTATTTTCAAATGGTTCAACAAAATGTTATACATATAAATAGAGAGAAAAAGCAAATGTGAAACAACGTTAACTGGTTTATATTGTTTATTGTATTATACTTCAACTTTTCTGTAGATATGAAATTTTTAAATAAAAAGTTGTGAATTAAAATATAGCAAAAAATTGTTTTACTGAAGATACCACACACACTTCGTTAAATATTTTATTGTAATGGTATACAATTATACATTGTTATTATTTATACTTTATAAAAAGCATGCCTATTCAACATAAAAGAGTTCACCTGAAATTAATTATGTAAATATATTATTTAACTTTCCATGTTAATGCATGAATGTCTTTATCTTCAATAAAAATCAAAACAGTTCAACACCTACTTTAGAGACAAGGAGATGCTGGGTGTAAGGATCACGAGGTAACATTTCAATTAAGTTAAAATTTTCAAAAAATTTTTTCAATAATTTCTTCTTTGTTTTTCTTCTTTGTCTAACATAGTCTGTTTTAAGCCCAAAGTAGCGTCTTGAAATCCAGGGTTTAAGTCTAATACTTTCTTGAAATCTTCCAAAGCATCATCAAAGTACCCTGTACCAAAATCCAAAAAATGAACAAGAGAAAAGAAGCTAAGTATTTCCTTATATTGTTCGCAGCAAAGTTTGGATGCACATACTTTTGCTTTCACATTTACAAGCTTTTAGCCACTCCTGGCAAAATTATTTTTTCCCTCTTAATAATGATATAGGGATTTAACAAATAGCATAAATCATCATAAAATTTTCAACAAAATTATATCACCTATTTTACATAATTACAGTAAATTAAGAAACAGGAAATTAATATGCTTAACACTTTAAATGAGAAACAGTATCTATGATCCCTTGATTCCAAGGATCTAAAACCTCTTCGCTTTATACTGTCTCGTGTACCTTCAAAGATTTTAACTCAGGAAAGTTTCACAGGAGATCATCAGCATTACCCTCATTTCGCAGTTGGGAACGTACAGGCACAAAGTAATGGGGTCACCCTCATTCCAGCGCCCAGGTCCAATTCCCACCGCAGCGCTCCGCTGTGGTCTGTAATGGCTATCGAAAGCCTAAAATAAACTCAGCAACAACTCCTCTGTTTCAGGCTCTAAACCTAAATTTCACATAACTTTCAAGACTTGATGATTACCATACTAGTTTTACAACATTCGAGAGCTCTAAATTCAGAGAACACAGTCAAGGACAAGAGGAGAAATTCTTACCCAGCCTATACAGTATCAACCCTCTGTTGTAATATGGGACTTCAAAATTGGGTTGAACTTCTATGGCAGATGTGTAGTCATCCATGGCTTCATAAAAATCAACCCTGAAGTACTTGATTTGCCCCCTGCTGTTATACGCGGTAGCCAAATCCTCAGGGCTGCATTTGCTTTAAAGAAAAAGTTCACATTAAAAACCCCCTTTTCACCAAATTCCTCTTGTTTCCACTTCCATTCTCTTTTGGGTCTGGTCAAACTTCATAGCCTGTAACATGCAGCATCCACACTGAGAAACCAAGCTGAAGAAACGAAGCAGTGGAATCGATTTTTGTTTAATCCCGTTATCTACTTTTGTAGGGTTATAGCACTGCAATGTCCATTGAAAAAGCACATTCATTTTACAGTGTGTTCAAAGCCCCTGTTTACTGCCAACTTGTTTTGCTGAATATAATATTAAAATCACTGTTCATCTTCTAAGCATATGCCAGCAGGGCAAAGAAAACAGATCAGATCTAAGCTGAGCAAGGAAGGGAAGCCAGTCCAAAGTTCCAGTGTGCTATGGACACATCACAAAATGAACCATCAATTTTATTATCAAATTTTTAAGTGATCCCCCAAAAAATGAGATTTGAAATCACTTTCCACCAATAACGAAATACAAGTTAATCCTAAGTGAAAATTCAACACTGATCCCCCGGGAGTGTTTTCTGGGGACACAGTTGCCTTCCTTCCACTTTTAGCTGGGACCCTCCCCAAGGCCAGATTGGCTTCCTACTAAGAGGGATCGAGGCTCCAGTTCACCTTGGGGCTCCTATGTGCAGAATCGGTTCTGTATCTGAGGACTCCAGAGGCTACCAAAGGAGCATTAAATAAATAGACTTTCCTGTAAGGGAAGGGGTTAGATGCCCAGGCAGCTCTGATAGCCACCAGCTCAACAGGTCACAGCCCTCCCCACCCCACCCCAAAATCATTTGCACAGAGAACATTCATTCATGAGTTTTGCTCCGTGTCAGAGATGATTCTCTTTTCCTTTCTGTTTTTCCAAAGAAATTATCAAATTTGAACCAAACAGGGGAAGATGCAGCCTAAACTTATCTGACATTTCTTTGTTATATGCTCAGAAAACATTTGTGACTGAAGCGTTATTAGAAGTTACTTCCCTTAATATCTTGATCCTTGAGATGTCAGACGGGGACTATAACCACCGCTGCAATGAGGTTCTCACAGCCTAGGGGTCTCCTTTCAAGTTTGCTAACAGTGGAAATGTCTGTCTCTGTGAGCTATGACTGAGAGAAACTGCGGACAAGAATACTTCTGGGTAGTAGCAGCACCACTGTTATAACCTAGAGAACAAGGGGGCACACTCCCTTCATCTATCTCTGTTATGATACTAGGTAAACTGCCATCCCATAGAGAGTTTTAAGAAAAATTCGGCCTCAGGACTCAGTTAGGTTTTGGGGGGGTTTTTTGGCTTTTTAAATTTATTTATTATTATTTACGCCTGTAGCACCTGGTCTTCCTAGGTGGTCTCCCATCCAAGTACTATCAGTTAGGTTTTAGTCATTAAATTTCTAAGCTTTGAAACTTTGTATGAATATCTTATATTCAGAGGATCACAGAATGTTTGATTTAGAATTAGATCTCATTACAACAAATTCCAAAAGCCTATATTTCATATGGAAGTTGTTTCGTATTTTAAAGACTTGGGCTAACAGTTAAAGCCAAAAAATTTTCTGTAATGTTAACATTTTTGTAATAATAGTATTTTTTGTAATGTAATTTAACCAGGTTACCTAATCCGAATGTGGATTTTTAGCATTTGCTAACTTTAGCAAAGAAAAAACATTTGGAAATTAGAGTATGGCTAAGGCTGCACTTTTGGATATTAAAAGAAAATGTTATAAACCATTCAGAGTAAAAGGCATTCAAAGATTGCAAATACTGTTCTAAAATGATTCAGTGACCCAATATTTTTAAAATAAATTTAAACTAAAAGATACATATAAGGGAAGAAGTTGAAATGACAGAATTCAGTTTTAATTCATGAGTTTCTAGAATTTCAGAACTGTGAGGAAACTGAAGGTTTATTTTACAGATGAGAAACTAAGGCTGAGAAAAGCTATGGGCAGAATCAGGATTGGAATTCAAGCACGCCGAGCTAAACCATGCAGATTTTCTTTCCTAAATTGGTAAGGGGCAGATATTACATTTGCTATAGGTACACACTGTATCTTAGGCTAAATAACAAAACCAGACGGCATCGATATACCTGTTACTGATGAATACTATTTGAAATCTACTAGGTAAGTCTATTAGTGTTTGAAACAAGCATATAAAACTATGTGTTCTATGCTTACTAATTGTTTTTTGGTTTTTTTTGGTTTTTTTTGCAGGTGGACCATCTTATTATTGCCTATTCAGAAACTTCATTAACTATTATTTTGGTATATTATTCACATGAGAAAGTAATTTTATTTTCATGGCTTAATTCTTACGAATTTAACAAAGACGATAAGAATCTTAAGCCTCACACAAAAGACAAGCTGGCATCCTCTCAAGAAAAACCAAATCCTTGAGGGAAGAGTAGGGTGATGGTGCAAACGACTCAAAACTGTCAAAAATGCTGTTCACTCAATCCCTCTCTGTTCTTTCCTCACCCTGGTCCATTTCACACCATCAACAAGAACAACTAACGCAAAACTTGGAGTAAAACAAATAATACACATCCAAGCATAAAGCTGAGACTCTTTGGGTGAGCGGATTAGTAGGTGAGGTTGCTAACATCACAGACCAAGAGACAACCAGACACCACATGCTTTCTGGTAGAAGTTCTCAACACCACCTATGAAGTATTCTTGCCCTAATGCTCAATCAGAACTGGATCAAACCTCAAGATTTAACTACCGACTTGCAAGCAATGTAGGAGACAGAGGACTGTGCTAAATGACATCTGGGGGATGAATTCAGCAAATCCAATGCATGCGGGATTCTCAGGACACACAGTCTCCTCAACAGACAGACTACAAGGGGGAAAAAAGAGGGAGGGCCTATAAAGAAACCTGACTTGAACCAAAAGCTTAAAGGAAACCAACAAAACAACTTTACTGGTCAATAGGTTTAGTTCCAATACTGACTGGATACTTGATATTTAGGAATTATGTGATAATAACGATACTGTGGTTGTTTTTTAAAAAAAATCTTTAATATTTAGAAATGCATTCTGAAACATCCATAGATAAATAATACGAGGTCTGGGTGAAGCGATAATGCTTAAGCCGAATCATCGTTACCTGAAAGTTCAGTATATTATTTTCCATATATTAAATTTATTTTTCACATGTAGAAAACAAAACACCCTTGCGTGTGATGTTGTGGTTGGAGTCGCGGTGCCTTGTGCTGCAGTAGCACTACCCACACGTGTCACCTCGCCCGCACCAAGTCTTGGCCATCCCACCTGTGAAAATAACAGGTGGAAACGCCCCTCCCCCTCTGAGTCTCTCGAGAGCAGCGTGAAAGGAGGACACCCGGGGTGAAAGAGCCGGCGCTCCGGGTGTCCCGGAGGAACGCACAGGCGGCTGCGTTCCAAGACGCTCGCTCCGCTCGCCCCTTTTTGAGAAAACAAGCTTCTGCCCGCTCGGTCCCGAGCGCGCTTGAGCTCAGACAGCCGAGCAAAACCGCTGCACCACCCCGGCATCTGCCCTCGCGGAGACGCCGCTGACCCCACTTCTCGCGATAGTTACCTCACGGGAGCCGCTCCTGCGGGGGCCGCACAGGCGCACTGGCGAATGTAAGCAGAGTACAACGCCTCGGCCTCCGCGTATTCACCCTTCTTGAAGTGAGCCTGGGCGAGTGCTAGAGTTGTATGGCTTTCTTGCCCCTGCTTCCCTTCCATAGCGGTCGGAGGCCGCCACTGCTGAGGCGGAACCACAAAGCCACTTCCACACCCCCGAAATCAACCCGACGGCTAAACCTCCGCGTTAGCAAAGGAGGACGTTTGCGCCTTACGAGGACCCGTTGTCTCGCGAGATCAACAGTACGCTGCGGGCTGAGATTTCAGGTTGGACAAACCTCCTTGAAAGGCTGATCGGTTGTTGTTACTGCTGGTCCCGCCTGCCTTGTCTTCCGGAAGAGTAGTAGACCAAACTATATTCCGAAGCAGTGGTCAGAGGTTGCGAAGAGCCCTTTGTTACAGTGAATGGGGAGTGGGGAAGAAACCTCGGTTTGTTTTATGAATGGGTAATTGGCCAGGGATCTATTGTAGCATCTATTAGGTTTCCATCCTCCCTTAAAGGATGTTCTGAGTAGGCTGTGGTTATCCTGACCCTTGTGTCAGAATTCCATGAACTTAGTTGTCCCACCGTCCTGAGTCCGAATTCACACTCTGTTACTTCCAAGACCCTAGATTGCAAACTTGTCCACGTTTTTGAACCTTTAGAGTAGTGTAAGGATTAATTGAATAGTATTTTGTGTGGACAGTCTGTGGTCTATGATGTTACTTTACATTCCCTGGCTGTTTATACCAAAGGGAAACCCAGATAGTAATTTAAGTGCAATGTGTCTAATTCAAGTAAAAATTATGCAAATTGAGCAATCCAGAGAGGAGATTAAGAAAACACGACCATCAATAGCATCAAAAAGAATGAAATATTTAGGAATTAATTTAACCAAGGAAGTGGAAGACTCATACAATGAAAATTATAAAGCACTGCTGAAAGTAAAGACATCATTAGAAAAACATCCCATGTCATGGACTGTAAAAGTTTAATATTGTTAAGATGTCAGTACTACTTAAAGTGATCTACAGATTCAGTGGAATCTTTCAAAAACCCCAATATTTTTACAGATATAGAAAACTACATTCTAAAATTTATATGGAAGCTTCAAGGGATCCCAACTAGCCGAAACGGTGTTGAAAAAGAACAGTTAAAGGACTCACGCTTCCTGATATCAAAACCTACTACAAAGCCACAGTAATCAAAATAGTGTGCAATTGACATAAAAACAGGCTTCTCAATAAATGGTGCTAGGAAAACTAGACAAAAGAATGAAATTGGACCCTAACCTAAACAGTTAAAAAAAATTAAAATGGATAAAAGACCTAAATGTAAGAGCTAAAAATACAGAATTCTTAAACAAAAACAAGCCAAAAGCCTTATGACGCTGGATTTGGCAATGATTCCTTAGCTATGACACCAAAGGCACAGGCAGCAAAAGAAGAAAATAGACACATTGGACATCATGGAAATTAAAGACTTGTGCAACAAAAGAGTATCAACACAGTAAAAAGACAATCCAGAGAATGAGAGAAATATCTGCACATCGTGTAGCTGATAAGAGTGTGAAATACGGAGATAGAGGTTCTGTGGGGCAGGCTGGGCTGCTGTGTCCATCTACTCGTAGAACACACCAGGGATTCTGACATGGTATCCCCATCACACTTGAGAAGCTCTAGTTTATAGAATATTCCTCTAAATTTTACTAACTAATTGCCCTACAACTGAGGTGCAGGGGCCAGGTTCAGTGGCTGTCCCTCTCCAACTCTCGTGCCTGTCTTCCAGAGTCCACCTGCACTTGGTACTTTGCCTGTAGAGAGGTATTAAACCTCCCCTCCGTCAGCTCACCCAGAAATACCACTGCAACAAGATGATCTGCCTGCAACCTCATGCTGGCAACAGCCACAGAAGTGTGGCCACACCAGTAACCTGCAGCCCAAGATGAAAGACAAGGCCCTCCGCCAGCTCCTTCTTCCCCCACACAGCAGCCTCCTACCTGAGCCCCATTGCCATGGGGCCTCAATAAAGCTTCCTTTTTGTTAACTAGAGCATTAAAAAACATTTTTTTAAATAAACATATATACATACACAGATAGATATACATATTTCCAGAATATATAGAGCACTTTTAAACTCAATTTTTCCAGCATGGGTGTACTATTTTGCATTTCCACCAGCAATGGATGAGGGTTTCAATTTCTCCATATCCTCACCAATACTTATCAGTTTTAATTTTGAATAGTATATTAGGTGTGTAGAGGTATCTCATTTTTCTCTACATTCCTCTAAATTTTACTAACTAGAAATTTAAACTATGCCAAATAAGAAATGGGTAGTTAAAATAGTCTCAATGTCTACTTTTAATTTTAGAGAAATCTCTTAAGAACAAATAGCTTTTATTATGAAGAAAACCTAAAGCACAGCAATTTCTTCAGTGTCACCTCAGTTGTTCTCTATTCGATTAAAATATAAATTAATGTCTTTTTTAAAAGGTTATTAAGATGATTTTTATTTTCTCATCTATACTTTTATGTATTTTTGAAATTTTCTACCATGAACATATGTTACTTTTATACTCAAAAACAAATGTTAATTTATTTTAAAAATATGAATTGACAAAGTAATCATAAAACAGCAGGGGACAGCATAATATCACTATTTAAATTTTAGAAACTGGCGATCTCTTAGCACTATAATATCAAATTAAGTACTCGTGATTTTCTCTTAAATATCTAGCAGTGTAATTTCCCCCCCATTTCTAATGAAAATTCTTTATGACCTCTAATGATTAATTCACTGTAACCTCCAGTCACCTGATATCTGACTAGTAACATTATAGGTGGTGGTTGTCTTTCTTGTTTGGTGGCAAAAGTGATATTGCACATCTATTGTACCTCCTGTCCCTTTCTTCCTTTATCCACTCTGGAGCCCAACACCCTCCTAACCAACCCCCATCAAAATATTTAAATCAACAAAACAAATATCATGTTATCCATAAGTTCTAGATAAAGAAAACAAGATAAATACAAGTCATTTTTTTACCTCGATATTTTTTATTTTCATATTTTTTTCACTTAATGCCACATAAAACCTAAGCTCTCAGTTCCTGGAATACAAAAAGATAATTTCAAAGTGTATTTTAGGGGAAAAAAATGTGTAATAAAGTCAGTATTTGTGCATGATAGCAGACAGGTCAACAACGCTATGTTGCTTGTTAGGCACAGTGCTTATTTGTATAAAGTTTTATCAGTTGGTTCGTCATCTCAAGACTTTGGCCTCCCATGCTATTTTGAAACTTAACATAATTCATGCCAAGTTTTATGATAAAGAACAACTCAGCATTACTTAAAGAGAATCAGTTAATGTTTATTGCATGAAGAGAACAACATAACTTTCATATACCGTCTTCAATATACTGCCTCACTGTGTTTATCCAACTTCTCTCAAAGTATTTGTTATAAATAGACAATTTTGCTTCTCTTCGCCCTGGAAATTTTGTTATCCTGAAATTTCTTTCATGTTGAATGAAACCAGTTGGGTCAACTATTACTGTAGGTCTTTCTCTAGTACCATTTTCAAGCAAGACAAAGGCCCCAAGAAATTATGGCAGATCACTAAAACCTTCACAGATCTAAATTCCAGTCATAAGCTTTTACAATAGTAGAAAAGATATGCCTGATATATATACATATGTGATAATTAAGTCTATAATGTATGAGGTTGTTTTTTTTTTTCAGAGATTTTGGCTTCCATATTAAATTAAACAAGAAATAGTGATAGCAACTCAGGATCTATCTGAAATAATTAAAGGAAAAATTCTAGCACTCGGGTAGCATGGAATTAGTGACAAATGAGAAGGCTCCAAGAGAGAGTTCCCAAAAGATTTGTTAGGAAAGGCTCGAGAAGTCAACAGCTGATTTTGGAATCGAAGCAAATGGGAGTGTAATCAACAAGCCACTGTAAGGACTAGAGCAATGACAATCTAACTTGGAGTTCTCAGCTGATTCCTGGGATGGAAATGGGAAAGAAAAAGAAGAGAGATTCAAGCATTAGACCATGGACCAAGAATCACAGCTCTGAATGTGGCAGACCTGCCGGAACCCTTGACTCTACAACTCTGAAAATTTCTCTTTCATTGATGAAGCACAGAATAGTTTCATCTCTGAAAACTGAAAGTCTTGTAGAAATATGTAAGTTCAACAGAATATTTATTTCCTAGGGCCGATCTCTTTTTAGGATGTTATTTTCTGATTTGAGGGAATATGCTATTCTGCCATAGAAGAAAACAAATGATATACACAAAATTCACTGTTAAATTTAGATAAGTAACTTACGAGACATGTTAGACAAAGTAAATACGGATATGTGACCATTCCTAATATTGTTGAGGCACTAAAAATAAATACAAAGGCACCAAGGATACACTAAACATGCTGACGCCTACAAAGTATTCAATATGTGTAAGGTCTTGATTCATTTCCCCTCTGGTGACACTTATTCTGGCCAGTCCTCCACCCAAGAAATACAATTGAACCCATGACTATTCAGCAGGCTACTGGCAACGTACAGCTGTGACCAGGTAAACCTGCCCCAGGGCCTCTTCTAGAGAGCAAATATGCATCACTGGCCTGAAGCACATTCCATCACTGGGTCCCCTGGCTCCAACTTCAACTCTGGTACTCTTCGTTACCACACTATTAGGAGAAGCTGGTGAGGCAGAATGAGAGCCAAGCCATAAGAACAGTACATAATTTAGGAGTCAGTTACTGTAATCTTTCTACTCCACTAGTAAACTACCCCATCACTTTCTCTTTGTTCCTCACTGTGTATTTCAAATTGATTCAATAAGCCAAGCAATCTGAGCATCTTCATTTGGTTTGTCACCCTTTCTGTCCCCTGACCTCTGGAATGGCTTGCTTGGTAGTGTATTTGTAGGCTACCGTTGTATCAAGGCAACTCCACACAAGGCACATGAACCTAGACAAAGACTTGTGAGACTTCTGGTCTTTTCATTTCATTTAGGCACACGAGCCTGCTCTCTGTCGTAAACTCATCGAGGCTCTAAACCTCTTCTCACAGATCACTATTCTCAATCTGCAGCAGACTTAAACTTTCCTCTAAAAGGCCAAAAAAATCACATTGAGAGTTAACTAACCTAAGTATTGTAGCTGCAATAACAATGTTGCATATTTCTCTTTTTTTATTGCTCTACTAAACATTAGCCAAATTTAAGCAAATAGTCTTGATGCAAGAGTGCTAGAGTCTGATCTACAACTACAAAATGAGAGGACCTAAGTTCATGAGAAATAAATGGAGAACATTATTAGCTATATGAAACAGATAAGAACATAACTGAGCACAGCTTTTTCTCTTAATGATAATAACTCAACAAAAAAAATGATAACTCAAAAGAAAAACATATCAAGGAAGAATCATTCCCCAGTCTGAGCATTATTTAAATGAAGGGTTCAGCTTGGTGACAACGTTTCAGCTGAAACTATAACTACAAACAGATATTTTTGTATAAATTTATACTATTATAAACAGAGCCAAGTTTTCTGCACAATAATATGAAGAGTAAATGCCAAATGCCATCTCTTAGATGACACTAAAAAGGTAGATAAAGAAGAAAAAGCTATGTAAAAAATAAGGCTATTAGAAACAATTCAAATTATTTAAAATGTCTTAAAATGCCTTCTTCTAAAAATAAAATGTAGAAGACATTCAATACTTATTTAATTAAACACAACTAGTGATAGAGCAAGTTTCAGTATTAATGATTTCAGCTCCTTCTGATACAGCTTTGCCTCACTCCCATGCTTCTCCTGTCCCCTGCCAAGATTTTTTAGTGAATTAGTGATCTTGATTCTGTGAGAAAACATTTCTTATTTGAAATATTTCTATAGTATCATGTAAACAACCACTAGATAGATAGATAGATAGATAGATATACAAAATAAGGTTTATTTCCATACATTTTATATGAAAATCAGCATCATTATTTCTAGTTATAGTTTTACACAAAATTACTTATATGTATATGTAATATCTGTATTATATACACATTTACATATATAATTTTGTATAAAACTACAACTATAAAATAATGATGCTGATATTCATATAAAATACATATATTTTACAGTTATACACAATTAGTCATTCTTTATCCCACTGAACTATGGCATAAAGGACAGAAATTGTAGCTGCTTATTTCCTGAGCCAGAACACAGTGCTTGCACACACTGCACATCCAGAACTGATATTCTGTGATTGGGCTTCCTGTGGCAACGCATGTTGGCAATTTTCCTTCCCCTCTGTAAAAATAAGAGGAAAAGCAATTAATTACACTTTAACACTTCTAATTACTTAAAACTTTATTACATTTAAGAAACTGAGGAATGAAAAACATTCCAAGGTAAACTTCAAACAAAAACTTTTCTTACAATGAGAAAATAAAGCATTAATACACTTGTGAGGCTAATAGGGCATAATGTTAAGGTAAATTACTTCAAAATTTAGTGCTTTCATTATTATATCACACTATTATACATATAGAAATCCAAGATGCTGATAAAGCAGAATGACATTTCGCCTACCCTTCAAGAAGGCTGTCCAATTCCGATTTTCTGTTATCTTTTGGAGTGTGTTTGGTGAAGATTTCTAGAGCAAGATCTTCATACTGCTGTTTCTGTTCTGAACTGAGGCTCTCTAAAGATTCGAGTTTAATGAAAGCTTTTGAACAAGTACCAAAAGCTCTACTGGCACAAGCACAGAGTGCCAACAGAGAGTAGATCTCAACAGCAGGGATAATGTCTTCATAGTCTCTCAGGTGAAGAGCTAGGAAAGAGAGAACAATTTGGATTTTGAAAAGTAATCATGATCAGGAATGGGAAAGAATCTAAGTTAAGCTGTTTTACTTTAACCTACGTGAACGTTAGCAAACTTATAACAACGGTAGGCGATCAGAGCACTAGCAGGAGAAAGTAGGCTACAAGATCTCCAGGGTTCTGTAATGCCAGCTAACAGCTCAGGTCCTGTAAACATAACCATCGCCAAATGATGCACATGACCATTTAGAAATAAATACACAAACAAAACTATCTGGTGTCAAACACGTATCTTGTGTTCCATGTAAATATGTTAGAAATTTCTGTGTCATTCCAGAAAAAGTAAATTAATATTATTACTGTTAGTCATAATTCTCAAGACTAACAATATCATGTTTCTTTTTATAAAAAAAAGCAAAGAATGAAATCATATGTTTTTCTCTTTGTGTTTCTTTGAACAAATTACTGCTTTTCTGTTTGTCTTATTGAAACAATAGAATTTTGAGAAAAAAGTAAAAATGAGCCTCTAAGTTGTCAGTTCAGACAATTGATTTTGACAGCTATCCTATCTTATTTTCAGTTTTTCTTCAGTTATACTGGAGATATAATCTCTTTCTTAAAAATGCACTGTACAATTAATATCAGATTGGTAACCAAATCATATCTTTTTCTTCTCTAGACTGCAATTTTGAAAATATCTTGTGATAGCATAATACTGGAAATTTCATAAAACAATTTAAAATAATATATTCATGTATTTTACAATTAGATTCCTATAAATTGGCTTGGGAGTCAAATGTTTATGACAAAGTTCACTGGAAGAAATTTACTAACAGTACATTCATTCAGTTATAATAAAGAATACCCTCTAATTTCACAAGTTCATAGGCAATAACTTACTTATAAGACATACATTGTTTCAGATCATTTTATCACCGAAAGACAAAAAATTAAAGTATATGGATTTCTTCACCCACTAGGAGAAGAATTTCGAGTTAAAAGTCTAATTTATCTCATAATATAAGTCTAGAAATTGTGCATAAATTGTATAAAATACAACTATTTTAAACAAAGTATATCACATATTAATCAGTTAAAATTAAATAAAGGTCAATTATAAATAAACAGAAAAATAAAAATGATTCCTATGTATAACATAACCAATTAGAAAATAAAATGTACAGTCATATTGCTAACAACTAAAAAAAAATAAAAATAAATTGTAAAAGAAATGTTCAAAGCATACAAGAAGAAAACTACAGAACTTAGAAACACAGATATACAAGAGGTTTTTAAAAATTGATGATTCCGGATGAGAAAGCTCAATATTGTAAACATATCAATGATGCCAATATTAATACATTATATTAATGCAATTCTATTTCAAAATCCAGTGAAACTCCCCACATCCTCAAAAAGATCCTAAACCTAATCTGGATGAACAACTGCAAGAGAATACCCAAAACTTTTTTGAAAAAGAAGAGTAATGAATGAGAGCTGAAATTCCAGATATTAAAGCATAAAAGTAAGATAAATACAGGACAGTAATGACACAGAAATTCATGATTAGAAAATAATAGTCTAGGAAGAGATTAAGAGTATGTGTGAATTTAGTTTCATGAAGGCAAAATTTCAAATCTGTGAAGAAAGAAGTTTTTAATAAATGGTTTTAGGATAACTAAAAAGTTATAATATTTAATAACCTTGAAGTGAAGGACGTCCTGATCAAGACTGGTAGGACTTTATCAAAAAACACTACTAATATCATCACCATGGCTACCACTTTTTGAGAGCTCACAGTGTCCAAGCACTATAATAAGTAAACTTTCTTTTTGTGAATTTCTCACTTAATCCTCAAAACAACCCTATGAAGGAGATATCATCCCCACTTAAAAACAGAAAGAAACTGAAGCTTAGGGAGTTTAATTATAACTAATAAATGCTAGGGAAAAATAAATATATATATGGCAGAGGGTTACTATATTTAATCTCTAAAGAGCTTTTACAAAAACAATTAAAAAGAAAAAGAAAAAACATCACTGTAGAATTCCAGAAACACTAAATAAAAGAATTAATCTAAATGGTCTCTTTTAAAGATCACGACATGATAATATAGATTGATGATCTATTAGGGTGTGATGAGTGTTGATTTCGCAGTGGCCCAGGCGATGTGATACAGGAAGGTTGGGATGAATGGTGACAGAGCCTGCGGTGCTGTCACGGCCCATCTGAAAGCATTGTAAGGGTTCAGGCATCCATATGTTCTGGTTTATAAGATTATTCTCATAGTTATGTTCTTTTGGAGTTAATATATCTAAACTTCAGAATATCATTAATCCAAAAACAAAGACTCTGAAACTACATGTAAATAATCTTCTATAAATTACAGTACATAATTACAATGACATATTAAAATATGACAGCTACTAAAAATGATGACATAGATCTGTTTACCAAGATGGAAAGATAACAGCAATATACTGTTGAGGGTAGAAAGCAAGACGTATACTGTGTAATATTATTTTAAGTAAAACTGTATACAATTTTTCAGGCATAGGGAAATGTTGAAAAGGAAATTCATGCAAATGTTGGAAATGATTATTTCTCAGTTATAAGATTATTGTACTTTTTTCTTTGTATTTCTGTTTTAATTACAACTGTTACATTAAGTATCATTTTAATTTCAAAATGTTAAATACAACAGAAATCTATCTACTGACATGGAAATATTTTATGACATATTACTATATTTTTTAAAAGGACATGAAAGTATGGTGTTATATTCCCGATTCTGTAAAAAAAAATATTATTTTAAAATATATATTTACTTTATACAAAATAAATATGTATTTATTTAAATATATTCATTTTATGTAATATATATTATTATATATTAAATATACAAATAGTTACATAAAGTACACACATGAAAGGGCATGGACTAAGCTATTAAATGTTTAACTCAGAATGAATAGAATAGCGAATGCTATAAATGTTCTTTTTGCTTACCTCAAACTTCTCATTTTTTTGTGAACCATACATATTGCTTACAAATTATAGATAGCAAACCTCAAACACAGGAAAATAAATCCATAGAAAAGTGTTATTGAAATTAACATAAGCGCACGTTGAAGTAGCTGGCCCTTCCTAGTCAATGTATAATTTTTAGACGTACGATATCCATTAGGTGCTATGCCCACCTGTCTTCAATGCAGTGTCAACGTATCCCTCATAGAGCTGCCTCTGTGCAAGTATGAAGAAGTGGTAAGCCTCGGCCCCTCTCCAAGCATTATCTGTGAAGCGACTAGTTGGCGACAGAACTTCTTCTTCCAGCAAACCAGCCAAAGCAGAAGTGGCCTACAAGTAAAGTCAGCATGAGCGCAACAATGATCTTTCAATGAAGACAACTCCTGAAACTGCTGGACAGTAAAGTCTCTAAATTAGCAATTTTATCATTACGAAACTGTCACTACGGACTTACTTTCTCCATTATAATTCGTATTTTTCTAAACTAGTATGATTAAATTTTTCCTTCAACTTTATTGAGGTATAACTGACAAATAAAATTGTTAGGTATTTCAAGTGTACATTGTGGCGAATTGCTATATGTATACATTGTGAAAGGATTCTCCCCAGGGTATGGTCAAATTTTAAAACAGAATCGATTAAACTTTAAGTTAATAAGAGATTCATTTTCACATTAAAATAATATACATATTCTAGGAAAGTTTTTAGAACTCATGGATTAGAAAGGATTTACAAAGTAAAGAATTAAAGCAAAGACTACAGATTAGTCTCTTAGAAAAAATAATCTTCAATATTTCCAGGTAAAAATTTCTAAAACTTGAGTACTAATTCCAAATCGGTCATTCCTTTTCCTCATATCAATTAAGAAAATACATGTAAATAAGCAAATTAAATGGCCTGTCCATAAAGAGAAGTTCAATAGTTTTTTTCCTTAAACATATCAGATGATTTGGTGTCATTTAATGTTCTACCTTACCTCTGAACTCTTTCCTTTAACTTTTCCTCGCTGGGCGTTTTTCATTTGTTCATGGTACTGCTCTATAAGTAAAGCTGATAGTACATAGAGCTTCTTAACACGTAAAGGCTTAGTTCTTTTCTTTGCCTCTTCATCTGCAATCTTCAAACAATAGAAGAATTGGGAGAATATATCTTTAAATCTACATTTGTACAAATATAATCATTTCTGAAATCTGATTCTCTAAAAAACAAAGGAAAGTCAGTAGGATGGACTATAACACCGCCCATTTACGATAAATATTTTTAAATCCATTTTGTTTTCCTTAGTACTGATAAGTATTTAGTTCGTTCTTAGTGTTAGCCCATAAGAGTTAGAACTCCTAACAATCTTAGTGAATAACAGATGCAAGAATGGAGAAAGCATTCATGGAATGGGTAATTTTCTATAACAGAGATTTTAAAAACAATGCTCCAAGTACACAGAGATAAGATGGCTTTAAGTGGTACATCCTTCAGAAATTTTAATTTATTTAAGTGATTCTGAAGAAAATACTTCCTTTTTTCATTAAATCAGAGGGGGAAAAGGACAGAATAGAATGTAAAATTTGCATACATTAATACTAGTCATCCTCAAGCCAAATGCATATTATAAAAAGTATAATGTCTTTAAAACTTATACATTTAAGAGGACTCAAAATTGTTTTATCAACAGGATTTAATTCCCAGTTAAGGGAATTTGTACTTTATGGCTCCTAAAAATTCTATAAATCTTTATTAAGGTCAATATTAAGTAAATATATAATTATTTAGGTATCAATAAGGTACGAATATTAATAAACAGCCTTGTTAGTAAAAGGTAATAATACTAAGATAATGCATAGTTATAGTACTAGTAAAACCAGAGGGTTTTGCTATAACAAACATTTGTTTCTGAAGAAAATAGAAAATGTGTTCTTTGGTAAATAAGAAAACATTGGTAACTAGAACAAACCAAATACTCACCAAGGATGTTACATTACCTTAAACATCAGTTTAGCAGCATCATAAAAGTAGTTGGCTTTCCGATAGAGTTCTATGGCATCAAGAGTTTTATTCTTTTCCAATAAATGAGATGCATACCTCGCTAACAGGGACCCAATTTCTTTCATACTATGATTTTTAGCCAATTCAACAGCTTTGTTCCACTGGATGGAAAAATAAGTCATTCAGTTACCCAAGTATTTATAGTCATATATGTCATAAAATTCACACAATAAAGCTTTAAGTTATAACAATAAATAACACCATATTAAAATTAAAAATTGGTAGATATTTTTAAAAATCACTTACAATAAGAGCAGTTTATAAGTTTTATAAGTAAACATGTCTCAAAATGATTAAATGACTTCGATTTGCTTAAGAAGTACATCTGAAAAAGGAAAGCTTCAAAGTTTATAATCATTTTAATCTTAAAATTCTAATTTTACACAAACTATGAGTGAGAAAAAGATATATTTGTAATAAAATAAAACATGCAATTTCAGTTAAGAAAATATCCTATCATATTTAACACTTAAAAGTTATTTTTATAAAGCAAATGGAATTTTTAAAAATACTTTAAGAAAATACTTAAAAGAATACATTGATAGTCAACGATTTCAACACAAGTCTGTATTTTAGTGAAATTCCAGTTTCTTAAAAACATCAAGTATACATTTTCTATAAAGGGAAAAGAACACAGAATTGCCAGAATAAATATTAATAAAGTAGCTCAATTCCTTTCTCAGGCAATGACCATTACCAGGTCCTTCTATGGAAAGAAAACCCCAAAATGCATAAAATTATAAAGTTACTTCCAGATGAAAACTTGCCAGACAAAACTTCAAAACATTGACATAAATAAAAAAGCACAAGGTTTATTCAAGTTCCCATACTGAGTTAGTTATGACTGGTGCACTCCTAACAGTGGCACTTCAAGAGGTCAGTGCAAACTCCATCATTTTATCGGTCCTCGACTAAGTAACAGACTACCTGGCTCCTTTCACAAAATTCTTCTCAAGCTCTCCTTTAAAGACAGGATGACTATGGTGACTAATTTTCAGTTCCTTACTTGGTTGAGATGTACACAGGTATCTACTGCTGCCTTTGGTTGATTACATTTCAAAAACGCAGTCACTGCTTGTTCACACATTCCAACTCTCACAAACATTTGTGCTATTTCCTGTAAGGATAAAATAATACTATCAGATTTCACAGACCATGGAAACACATAGAAATGAGAATACTAGTCACTTATATTTTAATTTACAAAACTCCATGAGACATATGAGTATTAAATATACTGGTGGTTACAGTAATTTTTCTTTTAAATAGATATAGGAACAGAGGCTACAAACCAGAACACATGCTAAACCAATGTTTCACTGGCTCACGTGGGGATCTAATTTTTAACAAGGTCCTAAAGATACTGCACTCTTTTCTTCTCTCAGTTTAGTAGCTAGTTTACAGAAACGTCAAGCTCTAAAACAAACCCACACTAGTAGGTAAGAAAAATAGATGTTATAATGAAAGGTAATTGTTCAGTTGAGACTTAAGGAAAATCTGACATCCAGAGCTCTCAAATATCTCTATAAAGAACGTGCTAGACCAGCTCAGGAAGCTGGGCCCAAAACAGAGCTCCCTCAGGAACCACAAAAACCCTTCGTACCCATTTGGCTGTACTCGCCATTTCCAGAAAATCACGTTTTTTTCTTTTTGAATATCTAATTGGCCAGAGATTTTCCCTCCTTACCTCCGCTTCTAAAATATTTTGGAAAATGTCATAAAAGTACATTTTGTACTCAACTATCTCTTTAAAAGTAATGCTGATGTTTTTCTGATTATAGAGTAATACTTTCTTATGGTTAAAAAACTAGAAAACACAAAAATGTAAAGTTACTCGTAATCTTACAACCCGTAAGAGACCTCTCTCAATAGTCTGATGTAGTCTCCTAATATCTCTGTCCTATGAATATATGTGTCTGTATGAGGTGGTACATGTATTGTGATCCTACTATATAGTTTAGTATCCCATATTTCCCACTTAAATATTATGTACATTTTCTCATACTATTAAAAACTCCAAAACTTGATTTAAAAATCTCCAGTACTACTTAAATTTTTAAATTATTTAAATTATTTAAGTATTATTACAGCTTTAATTACTTAGTATTTACTCAGTAATAGTACTATCTGGATACTCTACAGAAATATTTTTTCTGCATCATCAGACACACCCAACAGGTGACACTCATACACAGGGTAATAAGTAATTTTAGTTTCTTTCCAACTCAAGAAAACACATAGAAATGAGAATACTAGTACATGAAATGTCATTATTACAGGGATAACGGCTCTAATTCACAATAAACAAAGCTGAATTATCAGAATTCTATACTCATCTATCAATTAATACACAATATTTTTGTGGCAGAACTCACAATTGATATATGTCCAGCCCATGTAATTGAGAGTTGCTGACTCTACAGGTATTATACAGCTCAGTATTTTACACTTTAGATCACACAAATAAAATACAAACTCATTAACATCATTCAGTAATTAATTAAAAAGAACATTCAAAACAAAGTTCCAGAAAACTCTGCTTTTAGTTTCTCTTTTTTAACGTTAAATAAGTTATTGGTAATATAACCCGATAAAAGTTAAGCTATCTTTTTAAACTTTTGTTATAGCAAATTTCAAACATACATACACTTAAATCCCAAGACCTAGCCTGGATTATTTTAAAGCAAATCTCTGACGACAATATTTCATCTGTAAATATTTCATGTGTTCAGCTAACTTTTAAAAGCAATTTTATAAAACTGGCAAGACTATGCAAAACTGTGATCCTGTTAAAGTAGTAGAAATATGACGAATTTTCACTCCACTTTCAAGCATTCTGTAATACTGATATACTGTTTTAACAATTAAAATCAAATCATCATTTCATGTCTAAGAAACTATAAGATTATAGATTAATTTTAGATTTTCTTTCTTACAGAGGTTATTTCCTGACTATAACATAAAAACCTTATAAAGTAACCTAATAATTCCCAAAACTAAAATTTCCAATACCTACTGGAAGCAACTTGTGGTTTTCTGGAAGCGAACTGGCAAGATTCTCCAATCCCTCATAATCCTCTAACATGTAAAAACATTCGGCTAAGCGTTCCTGGTTTTGGCCTTGTATATAATATTGTACAGCATTCAACCTACGGGGCGGGGAAGCGAGAACTTTAAACTAATGCGAATTTCCTGGTAAATAAGCACTTTGACGAAAAAAATGTTCCTTCATTAGAATTACCAGTATTGCTCTAGTCATCATATACTTTATATACTTTGAAGTCTATAAATTGGGGTGGAGGGGATCTAAAGTCTGAAGCATATTTTAGTTACAACATTTATTGAATATTCTTAGTATTGTTTTAATCTGATACAAAGTTGTACTTCCAAACAGCAACATAAATATTTTTTTAAAAAAGCATACTGATCAAAATGAAAACTTAAAAATAAGAGCCAGTGATTTCTAAAAATAATCTATAATAACAAAATAAGCCAACATAAAATACTTCTTCACTTCTTCGGAATTGCACACCGTGGTCTCAACCCTGCAGCCAAGCACAAGTTTTGTGAGTGTGGAAAGTCTGAAGCCGTACAGTGCTTATCTAACACCTTTAAGGATCTCGTGCTCCCCAGTGCGAATCTAGAGCTATTTTAAGTTTAGGAGCCAGGAGGGTGGTCTTCATTTCCCCAGCATTATTTCGTAGGCAAGCACTCAGGAAGCTACATCCGAAGTGCTAGTGAAAGGATGGGTGGTCCAGACAGGTTACCTACCACTTTTGTCGGTCAGCGAAGTAGTCTCCGATGGCATTGTGGGCTTGTTCCAGAAGACTGTCATCTGCATCGCCAGATCCAGTTTTCAGGAGTTGGAGTACTCTAAACCAATCTCCCAGTTTCTGCCGGAGGCCAATAGCAAGGTCCCTGCAAAAAAAAAATGGCATTTGTTCATCCACTCATTTATTCATTCATTTGATAAATATTTATCAAGTGCCTACTATGTGCTAGGTTCAAGTCTAGGGTACTGAGAATACACAGCAGTGAAGAGACAGACGAGGTAACTCTTAACATTTTAGAAACCTAACCTGACCAGGTAAGAAGCAATGGGGAGAACCTGGACTAGGGAAAAGGGAACAGTTTCCTGCCTTTCACTGTCCTAACCTTCCAATTTCCTTAGCAAAATAGTGATTTAAGTAATAATCATTTCACTAATTTCTTAGACATGATCAGGCTTATTTAAAACCCAAACGTATAAAAATATGTTTGATTTTATTTTTCTTTTCACAGCTTAAATTGGATTAAGGATCTCCTAGAAGTACAAATAATATTAATGAAAATTAGGCATGTTTATAACTGAAATGAATTTCATACATTTTATATAAATCTAAAATGAAAGAAAGAATAAAATTCCATCCCTAAATATGTTTGACTTTTATTTCATGTTCCTTGACAACAGAAAATTGAGTAAAGGCCTAAATCAAAATAGAGAATCCAAATAATAAACTGTGTAATAAATGATAAAAGACCCTAATCCCCATAGTCATATGATTTTTTTTCATAGCAAGTGAAAAATATCTCCCATGGCAAACCATTAATATATGTAAAAACTGAGAAGAAAACTGCCCCCAAATTACAAAATATAAATTAATGAGAGGCATGTGGGATATCTCGTTTAAATCAAAATAGAGCATCCAAATAATAAACTGTGTAATAAATGATAAAAACCCCTAATCCCCATAGTCATATGATTTTTTTTCATAGCAAGTGAAAAATATCTCCCATGGCAAACCATTAATATATGTAAAAACTGAGAAGAAAACTGCCCCCAAATTACAAAATATAAATTAATGAGAGGCATGTGGGATATCTCGTTGTAATCTAAACTGAAATTATTTTCTAAAAGAAACAGTCTGATACGGTTAGTCTATTTTACATTCCTCATTTGTAAAACAATAAAGTCATGAACTCTGGGAGTGCTCCAGGATGCCTGCACCTTCCTTCCTTACCTTCTGTCCATATCAAGATACATTCTTTCAGCCTCTTCGAACCGGCCGAAGTAGGCAGCAACCTCCGCCTGCTTCATGGACTCACTCTGCAGGTTGCCCAGGCACCTCACGAACTTGATGCCTTGGTAATCCTTGCAGCGCACAAATGCTTGCTCGGCTGTGTGCAGATCCAGTTTCTGAAGAGCTGCTTCAGCCAGTAGCCGCCTTTATAGAAAAGAATCAGAAAAGCCTATTGCAAATTACTGATAAACAAGACTTAAAGCACAATCCAAGTATTATACTTACGGTTTCAAGTGAAACATGGTGGGAAGTGATCATTTTAACACATTTATGCATGTTTCATTTAATATTATGCTCATTTTGAGTACTTCCAAACCTAAAATAAATTTCTAAATCTTAAAAAGAAGAACAAAGATGGAAGTCTATCCCCAGGGAGGCTAGCATGAGAGTGAGGATGGCACAGCTGAGACTTGAAAAGCATATGCCAGACATGTGGGGAGGATTTTTTATTTTTAAATACCAAAGTCGGGGATGTGGATTGTCTTCTATGAACTGAGATGCATCTTCGATTCCAACCTTCTCAATCAATGCTCGACTATCTCGCAGGGACCGAATCTCAAAGTTAATTACATAATCCTTGTTTGGATGTTCTGGATTCTAAAAGTAAAGATGAAAAGAAAGGAATTCAAATAGGTACCTTTAGAGTATGTGTGTTTTTTATAGTAAAACAAAACAAAATTGCATCATATTGTAAGAACAAGTGGGAAGAAGGGAGATTCCCATGTGGGGGTCTTTGGAGTTATCTGGAAAACACCCACGACCCACAGGTGAGGTCTCTCCTGAGCTACCACGCCGCCTGTGGGGAAGAGGGGGCAGTGGTAGAAGGGGTCCCGAAAGCTATGCGGCCTCGTTTCCCTCGGCTCAGCTGGAAACATGGGCGCAGGACCTCTACCCCTTCCTTAACCTACTTCCTCTGCCAGGGGCAATGAAGCTGTTGCTCCACGTGCTATTGGGCAACAGGCGAACAGGAGAAAAAGGGCTAGTTTTCATCACCACTTTTCTTTCGTAATTTATCAGGCTGACTCTCTCCCCACCCCCCGCAAAAACAAAACAAAACAAAACAAAACAAAA